AGGCACTGACTGCCGAGGGGTCTTAGGAGGTTACAGGCTCTTGAGGGGTAATCAGGTACCTAATTTTCGAGAAAATTTCTGGATGCAAGGAACCCAGGGTGCCTATACTGCCCAGGTTGGGGGTTGCCGAGACTTGATTTGGGTAAGTTTTGGTGTGGTCCGTCTCAGTGTCGCGACGCACATGCGCGATTCGCGGGCTCCAGTTCAGGGAGGCCAGCGTAGGCGTACGTGTTCGACCGCACCCATGGTACCGTTTGGTATAAGCCCCAAGCCCCAAGCCCCAAGCCCTAAGCCCTCAGCCCTCAGCCCTCAGCCCTAGGCCCTAAGCCCTAAGCCCTAAGCCCTAAGCCCTAAGCCCTAAGCCCTAAGCCCTAAGCCCTAAGCCCTAAGCCCTAAGCCCTAAGCCCTAAGCCCGAATCAAGCTCTAAGCCCTAAGCCCTACACCCAAAACCTAAGCCCTACACCCAAAACCCAAAACCTTATCAGTCAGAAACTCTGATAGATATAACCCTACTCATGATACATATTGGTAGTGACATCATTCCTTGGTCTGAGATTGTGTGGCAGGCCTGGTGGTCGAGTCATGGGCTACGACCTTCGTACCGTGAATGTTCCGAGCTTACGAACCAGCGTAAGGTTCTGTCGAATGTGCTGCTGGAAGTTGAGAAACCGTAAACTAAACCCTTTGTCCTAAACCCTAAACCCTAAACCCTAAACCCTAAACCCTAAACCCTAAACCCTAAACCCTAAACCCTAAACCCTAAACCCTAAACCCTAAACCCTAAACCCTAAACCCTAAACCCTAAACCCTAAACCCTAAACCCTAAACCGTGTTGAGCGGTTGGGGCCCTGTACCAAGGACAGACATGCTTCGGGATTCAGTTTGTGCCTGGCTGTAGTGGGGCCTGCCAAGAAGGTGTCCCAAGCCCAAGTCTTTATTTATAGGTTTAGGGTTTAGGGTTTAGGGTTTAGGGTTTAGGGTTTAGGGTTTAGGGTGTAGGGTTTAGGGTTTAGGGTTTAGGGTTTAGGGTTTAGGGTTTAGGGTTTAGGGAAGCTCACCCTAAAGCCCTGGTTGTTCAGGTTTGGGACCCGACCCCCCTAGGCCTTGGAACCTTGAAGCCTCATAAAATCCTAAACCCTAACATCCTAAACGCTAAACCCTAAACCCTAAACCCTAAAACCCTAAACCCTAAACCCTAAACCCTAAACCCTACACCCTAAACCCTAAACCCTAAACCCTAAACCTAAACCCTAAACCCTAAACCCTAAACCCCGGAACCCGGAGCCGTGTCCAAGCCCGTCGTCTGAGGTCAGTGGGCTCGATGACGAAGCCTTCCAGGTCGGCCCAGAGCGCTAGGGCTTGAGAAACATACGAAGCCACAAGCAGGAGTTAGGGTTCAGGGTTTAGGGTTTCGGGTTTAGGGTTTAGGGTTGGGGGTTGGGGGTTGAGGGTTGAGGGTCCTAAGGCCTAAGCCACAGCTCAATTGCCGTTCTCGGGCCACGTGCGCAGGAGTGTAATGTCTGAATTTGCCGCCCTTAGCGTTTAGGGATTAGGGTTTACCCGGAGGATTTCAGGGTTTAGGGTAGGATGGAAGGTCAGACAGGTCACGAAAGGTCAAGGAGGTCAAGAAGTTTACCCCCCACTGCGTGCCCCCGTGGCCGGCACCCTCCCCGTTTGCTGCTGGTTGCAGTTTGGTGGGTCCCAAACCGTAAACCCTAAACCCTAAACCCTAAGTCCTGAGGGCTAAACGCTAAACCCTAACTACCCTAAACTTTACCTAAACCCTCAACCCTCAACCCTCAACCCTCAACCCTCAACCCTCAACCCTCAACCCTCAACCCTCAACCCTCAACCCTCAACCCTAAACCCTAACCCCTAAACCGTAACCCTAACCCTAAACCCTAAAGTCGCGAGGGGCCTGGGCTTGGGGTCTTGCAGCCAAAGCTTGCAGGGCGGCCGGCAAGACGTGGTCTTGGTGAAGAAAGCCCCTGGGATGGTGTAGGGTTTAGGGTTTAGGGTTTGGGGTTTCGGGTTTAGGGGTGTAGGGGTTGAGGGTTTAGGGTTTAGGGTTTCGCATGAGGTGTGAGATGTTCTGGGTGTCTTCACGGTGGTTGGGTTGCGAGGGTTTTGTGTGGGCCTCAAGTTCCGGCACAACCCATAAAAGCTCAAAAACCTCAACCTTAGGCCCTAAACCCTAAGCTCTAAATCCTAAACCCCGTTAAGTCCGAATAAGCAGATAAACGGAAGGGTTGCTGCCCCAAACTAAACCCTAAACCCTAACCCTCAACCCTCAACCCTAAACCCTAGACCCTAAGCAGAGTTTTAGGGTCCAAAAGCCCGCCTCCCTCCGACCACACCCGCAAGCCTTCTAATGAGCTCTTGAGGCAAGGTCCCCAAACCCTAAACCCCGAACCCCAACCCCAACTCACCTTTTCCAGGGCGCTTTTGGATATCCTAAGGGTTCTTGAGGGTTCACGACATACTTGATTTCAGCTTGCAGGGCAGCTTCAGTCGTAGCTTATCCTAAGCTCTATATAACCCCTATGAGCCTCATGCTAACCCCTTGCCCGGCACTCGTAGCCCTCAAGCTTAAACCCGAAAGCCTACAGTAAACGCTAAGTTCTTAGACCCGGAACCCTGAACCTCGAAAACCTTGCGGTCTAGGGTTCACTTGGAGGGGTGTAGCTGGCTGTAAGTAGGCGAAGATGACATCTGTAGGGGTTCGAGGTGCTCGAGACCCAAAACTAAACCCCAAACCCTAAACCTTAAGCGCTAAACCCTAAACCCGAAACCCTAAACCCTAAAAACTAATCCCTAAACCCTAAACCCTAAACCCTAAACCCTAGCCCTAGACCCTAAACCCGAAACCCGAAACCCTAGACGTTTCAGGGCTACCTCAACCCAGCCTAGGTCTACAAGCGCAAGGGCAAAAGGAAGCCACGGGCTCAGATCTCCTTTTCAGGGCTCTGAGGCTTTCAGGGGTCTTTTTGAGTAGGGTTTAGGGTTAGGATTTAGGGTTTAGGGTTTAAGGTTTAGGGTTTAGGGTTTAGGGTTTAGGGTTTAGGGCTTAGGGCTTAGGGTTTAGGCTTAGTGTTGAGGGTTTAGGTCAAACCCTAAACCCCAAACCTTAAACCCCAAATCCCTGAGCCCCTAAACCCTCAACCAGCGCTCTAGGGGTTTTGGAGCCCTTCTCGGGCTAAGGTTTTTGGGGTTAGGGTTTGGCCGCCTAAGCCCCTATTATGGGACCATGTAACTACCCCAAGTGGATTGGGCTCAGGCACTTCTTGCTGTTGTCTTTCGTCTTTTTAGCTCCCCGGGTTCAGGAGTTGAGTTGCTCTTTTATTTTTATTTATTGTTTTTTAAAAAAAGTTTTTAAGGAGGGGATAGGCTTTAGGCTTTAGGCTTTCGGCTTTCGGCTTTCGGCTTTGGGCTTTAGGCTTTAGGGTTTAGGCTTTTAGGATGTAGGCTTTTAGGATGTAGGCTTTAGGGTTCAGGCTTTTAGGATTCAGGGTGTAGGGTGGAGGGTTTAGGGGGACTACCATCTCGGAGGTCCACGTCGCCACTCCTTCAGCCCTAAAGCCCCCCAAAGCTCCCTAAGGGCCATACGCCCAGCGGCACAGGCCTTAAGACCCTAAAGAGCCCGAAAACCCCCTAAACCCTAACACCCTAAACCCTCAACCCTAGCCCTAAACCCTCAGCCCTAGCCCTAAACCCTTGAACCCTGAACCCCAAACCTTAAACCCTAAACCTAAACCCTAAAGCCCTAAACCCTAGCCCTAAACCCTAAACCCTAAATCCTAAACCCTAAGCCCTAAACCCTAAACCCTAAAAGCCCTAAGCCCTAAGCCCTAAACCCTAAACCCGAAACCCTAAACCCTAAACCTTAAACCCTAAACCCTAAACCCTAGCCCTAAACCCTAAACTCGAAGAAGCCCTCAGGTGGGAGCTCCGACGCCTGAACCGCGAAATGGAGGAGGGGGTCGACCAGGTCGACGACGATGCGGACATGGAGGCTTGTCTGGCTGGTTCTTAGGGAAGCTTAGGGTTTAGGGTTTAGGGTTTAGGGCTAGTTCTTAGTAGGGAATGAGGGAATGTTGGCCCTATATATACCCTTTAAGGGAGTTTATAGGGTACCTCATCCCTCATTCCCTACTAAGAACCAGGAGGCTTGTGGCCTTAGGGGTGTGTGCAGGCCTTTCCTTTGAGGTTTGGGGGGGTAGGGTTTAGGGTTTAGGGTTTGGGGTTTAGAGATTAGGGTTTAGGGTTTAGGGTTTAGGCTTTGTGGCTTTGGGATGTGCAGACCTTTTCTTTTGGGGGCGGGGGGGTAGGGTTTACGGCGCGCCAGCCTCCCGGGGGGTTGTTCTAGGCGCTGCAGAACGCCTTGCAAAGGGACCTCCCTACACCCTAAACCCTCAACCCTCAACCCTAAACCCTAAACCTAAACCCTAAACCCTAAACCCTAAACCCTAAACCCTAAACCCTAAACCCTAAACCCTAAACCCCAAACCCTATCCCCAGACGGCGGCTCCAGCCTGCTCAGCAGCATTCGCAGCAGACCGCTGGCCGTAGCCAACACTTCACAGGGTTTTAGGGTTTAGGGTTTTCAGGGTTTTAGGGTTTTAGGGTTTTAGGGTTTTAGGGTTTTAGGGTTTTAGGGTTTTGGGTTTTTAGGGTTTTAGGGTTTTAGGATTCTAGGATTTTAGGGTTTAGGGTTTAGGGTTTTTAGGGTTTTAGGATTCTAGGATTCTAGGATTTTAGGGTTTAGGGTTCAGGGTTTCGGGCTGAGAGTACCATTATGGGCACTGTGAGGTCCAGGTTCTACCTAAGCCCTAAACTTCGCCCTCAAACCCTGCATCCTGAAAGAACCCCTTCCATAAAGCGCCTCTTCACCTCCCGCCATGGAGGGAGCTAAGCCCTAAGCCCTAAACCCCAAACCCTAAACCCCAAACCCCAAACCCTAAACCCTAAAACCCCCAAGCTCGCTCGGGTGCTCCGCGCGATGGCGCCGAAAGCCCACGATGCCGGGGAGATGGGCGACCTGCGGGCGGCAGGCGACCTCAAGGGTTTAGGTTTAGGGTTTAGGGTTTAGGGTTTAGGTTTAGGGTTTAGGGTTTAGGGTTTAGGGTTTAGGGTTTAGGGTTTAGGGTTTAGGTTTAGGGTTTCGGGTTTAAATTTAGGGGGCTTTTTGGGTTTTTAGTTTGTTTTTTTGTGTTTTCCTGCTTTTGTTTGGGGGTTTTCGGGTTTTTAGGCTTTAGGGTTTAGGGCTTTTGGGGTTCAGGGTCTTTAGGGTTTAGGGTTTTCAGGGTTTCGGGTCGAGGGTTGATCGAGGGTTTGGGCCTCAGGGTTCAGGGTGGTGACTTTTAGGATTTTCTTAGTTTGGAGGGGAGTGGGCTTTAGAGGACCCCTATCTCCTTGCTCCGAAGTAGCAAAGCCTTCTGACAGTTGGTTTAGGCCTTAGGGTTTGGGGGTTTAGGGCTACCCTGAACCTTTAAACCCCAGGTCCTCGATTGAAAAGAACAGACGTTTTCTTGATGTAGGGCCGGGTGCTGGCCCATGCCTAAACACTACAGCCAACCCGGAACTCCTAAACCCTGAGCCCGGAACTCCTAAATCCAAAGCCCATCAATCCAAGCCCTAAACCCATCATACTCAAAAAAAGAGCCCATGGGAAATAATGGAAAATCACAACAGAATGAATAGTACAAGACAATCATGATATACTATAGTATAGTAACAAAATCAAATAATAGTTGTTTGAGAATCAAGTAAAACAAGAATATAAAACTATCATAATCTGATAATAAAATAATAGTATAAGAATACAGTATTATAGTGATATTCTAGGTGAATAATATAATGTGCAATAATAGAAGGAATTAATACAAAAATATCATAAAAAACGAGCATCTATGAATATAACAATATCTTCATATTATAATCAAAAGTATAAGCATACAACAATATAATCATACGCTACTATCTAAACATCCTAACATAAGAATATGCTAATACAATAATGTGATGACGATAAGACTACTATAAGACTACCATTTTCTACTATAACAGTATGTACTAATAAATAGTACCAAAATAATAGAATCACAAAACAGTACACTAGTAAATAGGATCACATACAAGACAATCAAATCGGGCTTTGCGCCATTACATTACAATATAAGACAAAAACTCATAAAGCAATATACTCACAAACAATATGTAGCACAGTCATACAATAAGTTATGGCTTTACGCCGGTTTGAGGCTGCGTGCCGAAGCCCCAAAGCCGCAAACCGCGTGGCAGCGACCACCCCCCCCCCCCCCCATTTTCATGCATGCTATGGCATGGTGGTAGCGTTTCATGTGAAGGGCGTGTGCTGTGCATTCTTCAGTAAGGGGAGGTGATTACCTCAAGTCCCCTAAATCCTAAACCCGAAGCCCTAAACCCCAAGAAATCCTCGAGCGCTTCTACGCCAAGAGCACTGCAGGCGAGACGCTGCGGGCTTCCCTGGGTTTCCGCGCACGGCTCGTGGCTGCAGCCGACGGTGCGACGCCGCCGGAAGGAAAGCCTGAGAGGTTTAGGGTTTAGGGTTTGGGGTTTGGGGTTTGGGGTTTGGGGTTTTAGAGTTTGGGGTTTAGAGCGCGGGTTTCGGAGTTGTTTTAGTTGAGTGTATTCACTGTACCACAGTTGGAAGTGGTGCAGGGGGGTTCTCAGAACTTGGAGAACGCAGAAGCCCGCAACGTTTAGTTTAGGGTGTAGTGTTTACGGTTAATGTGGGCAGCTTCCCTCTTACACAGTCCTGTTATCACACTAACCCATACGACCCAAGCATCCGGTGCTTCGCCAAACCCCACCTGAACCCTAAAACACCAGACCCTAAACCCCCTAACCCCTAAACCCTTCAGCCCAGCCCAGAAGCCCTGAACCCTAGACCTCTGCACTCCAAGCTCTTGAATCCTTAAACCCGAAACCTCTACACCCGAAACCTTCGAACCCTAAACCTTGGCATGTTCCCCCTTATGCTAACAGTCCTTACTACGGATTATAGTACACCCTATCAAGGCCCTATTACGAGCTGTTAGTATAAGGGACAACATCCCAATCCCAAAACCCCAAAACCCCAAAACCCCAAAACCCCAAAACCCCAAACCCCAAACCCCAAACCCCAAGCCCCAAACCCCAAACCCCAAACCCCAAACCCCAAACCCCAAACTCTAAACCCCCAAACCCCCAAAGACCCCAAAGACCCGCCGAGAGGAGCCAAGAAGGTCCACTTCATCCGGCACGGCGAGGGCTTTCACAACGTGGCGCAGCGACCCTGGGCTTGGCCGAGATTCTTTTTTTGGGGGGTTCAGGGTTTAGAGTTTAGGGTTCAGGGTTTAGGGTTCAGGGTTCAGGGTTTAGGGTTCAGGGTTTAGGGTTTATAAGACCTGCTTTAATAATCTTACCCCCCCCCCCCCCCCCCCCCCCCCAAACAATCGAGGATCCTGAATATCAAAAACACCACAAACAGTCCCCGACCCTGGAAAGGTCGAGGCTCCAGGCTTCAAGTATCTCCCCTTCTCGAGAAAGCTTATGCAAACCGAAGGACTGAGCCCCGGGCCCCGGAAGACTTGTATTATAGCGGGACCCCAAACAAAGGTATATAAACTATGTCCGGAGGCCTCCGTAAGCTACCCCCTTTCCAGATATGATTCGCCTATGGAATCATATAGTGTTAAGTATGGAACTTATCAAGAAAACGCGCCCTGAAAAAGAAGATTTTCGGAGATCCTGGAAAGGTCGAGGCTCCAGGCTTCAAGTATCTCCCCTTCTCGAGAAAGCTTACGCCTTCCTGAAAACCGAAGGACTGAGCCCCATTAAAAAAAGAACAGTCACGGCCCGAACACTTTTCATTATAGTGTACCCCAAAAACAAAGGCCAAAATCCTGAATAGCCGAACATTTTTTTTGTAATAGCGTCCCCCTAGAATATTGCGGGTGCAACATTTGGTTTAGGGTTTAGGGTTTAGGGGTTAGGGACCCCCCCCCCCCCTCCCCCCAAAGTGATGGAAGCCCATGTGTTAACGTGCTGAAGAACCCCTAAGCCCTAAGCCCTGAGACCTAAACCCCTGAAGCCTTCAACCCAACACCAACCTCTGAAGCCGAAAGCCTAAATCCCTAGGAGAGTGGCGCGCCAAGCCAGATTGGGACGGGAAGTCCGAGCCATACACCCTGGACCAGGACAACAAAGGGGCCTAAGGGTTTCCTAAACCCCAAACCCCTCGGGCACCCTACCCAAAAAGGCTTGTTGTGGCGTTTAGGGGGTCGAGGGTTTAGGGTTTGAGTGTGGTGTAGACGTTGAGAGTCTAGGGGTGGTTTATGGCTTTGGGGCTGTTCGGGTTTAGGGTCTCGGGCATCGATGCGCGCAGGAATCCCATAGCAGCCCCAGGCGGTTTAGGGCTCAACCCTGAATCCTCAACCCTAAACCCAAAACCCTGAACCCGAAACCCTAAACCCAAAACCCTCATTCAGAGTACAGGTTCAACTAATTTCGGAGCGTAAGGAAGGGAAGTCGCCCGATCAGATTCTATCACACAATACTTTGGGGCAGCTCGGCCTTGGAGGTATACCTTAAACACCTAGACCCGAAACCCGAAGCCCCAAACCTTAAGCCCTAGACCCTAAACCCTAAACCCTAAACCCTAAACCTTAAACCCCAAACCCTAAACCCCTAGACCCTAAACCCTGAACAGCCCTAACCCCTACACCCTAAGCCCTAAACCCCACGCCCTAAGCCCTAAGCCCTAAGCCCTAAACCCTAAACCCTAAACCTTAAACCCTAAGCCCTAAGCCCTAAGCCCTAAACCCTCAGCCCCAAGCCCTAAAACCTGAACCCTAAACCCTAAACCCTAAACCCTAAGCCCTAAGCCCTAAGCCCTAAACCCTCAGCCCCAAGCCCTAAAACCCTAAACCCTAAACCCTAAACCCCAAAGCCTACACCCTAAGCCCTAAGCCCTAAACCCTAAACCCTAAACCCCAAACCCTAAACCCTAAACCCTTGCAGGATCCCGACGGAAAGTTCGAGGACCCCTTGCTGACGCCCAAGGGCGAGGGCCAGGCCAAGGCACGGTGGCCTTGGGAGGTTTAGGGTTTAGGGTTTAGGGTTTAGGATTCAGGAGTTAGGGTTTAGGGTTTAGGATTTAGGGTTTAGGGTTTAGGGTTTAGGGGGCGCCCTAAACCCAGCTCAGTGTTCAGGGTTTCAGGGTTTTCGGGTTCATTGTTTGCAGTTTAAGGTTCGGGGTTTAGGGTTCAGGGGGGGTTCATGGTTTCTGGAGCGAGGAGACTTTCTATCTAGCCCAACCCGGATTTCGGGTTTAGGTTTTTTTTTAAAGACACGTTTTAGATCCAAAACGCCCAGAACCCTCAAATAATTCCACCCTACCCCCTAGATCCTAAGTCCGGAGCCTTGAAGTTGCTTGAAGTGAAGGACTTGCAGCCGCGCGTGGCGTCTCTGGCACCGGAGCTGCTCGTCGTGCCTCGGAGCGGGTTTGGGGCTTCGGGTTGGGGAGGTCAGGGTGTAGGGCTTAGAGCCCTAAACCTCAATCCCCAAATCCTCAGCCCTAAAACCCTATAGCCTCAGACCAAAGACAGAAGCCGCAAACGCGAAAGGCTAAACCCCAAACCCTAACCCTAAAGCCCTAAAACGCTTAAGTCTGCACCCTAAACCCTTCAAGGCTTCGCTCGATGCAGCTGAAATGAGAAAGTGAAGCTGGTGAGAACCCGGAGGGAGGTCGTCGGAGACTGGGTGTTCCACGTGTATGTCTTGTAGAACCTCTCTGAGCAGCCGGGAAAATTTGTGTTGGTGGTTACAGTGTTTGTACATTCTGGGTATCCTTTCCACGCGGCATTTCTGCGATTCGCGGGCTCAGACCGTTCAACCTGGGCGCCGGGAGAGAGAGGGGGAGAGGGAGGGGGAGAGGGGGAGAGGGGGAGAGGGGGAGAGGGGGAGAGGGGGAGAGGGGGGGAGAGGGGGAGAGAGGGGAGAGGGGGAGAGGGGGGAGAGGGGGGAGAGGAGGGGGAGAGGGGGAGAGGGAGAGAGGGGGAGAGGGCACCCTGGGGAGAGAGGGAGGGGGAGAGAGTGGGTGTTTCAAGTGAGCTGGGCATCACCAAGATGCGTGACGGAGTCTCGAAGACACACTCTGTTAAGGAGGAGTGTTTGTGATAGGTGCATCGACCCTGCTGCAAGGATGACAATCAGGTGCGACCAGAAACTAGATGAAGCGAGAAGTGTCCCGATTGAGACTGGTTTGCTTCAGGCGCGCGTCAGGGTTCTCCCCGAGCGAGGGAGGGGGAGGGAGGGGGGGGCAGGGGGGGGGGGGGGAGGGGGGAGGGAGGGGGAGGAAGGGGGAGGGAGGGAGAACTTACCTGATAGCCGCAAAAATGCGTTTGCGTGGGTGTCCCTGAGTTGCGCCGAGCCGTGGACTGAGGGTGTGGCCGTCTGGGATGTTTGCGCGGCTTTCTGATGTATTGCAAAGATCTGTGCAGGGTGAGGCCTGCTTCGACGAAGGAAATAATGGCTAGGACTGGGGCGTTGTTGTTCAGGAGGGCTTAGTGAACAGAAAACGGTGTGTCGTCTGGAATGCTGGCGCAGACAGACGTCCTTGGGCCACATAGGGTTCTGCCATGAATGTGTTGCTATAGACTGATCTGACGCACGCTATCCGCAACCAAAGCTTCAGACATGCTGACCAAACAGATCCCGCCCTCCCGAAGTACAGTCCGGAATCGCTGGGTTCCATGGAGCTCCGTCAGCTTCTTTGGACAGCTGGTGCACCTGTGACAGGAGCGCGGGTGTGTTGTCATGCATCTGATATGGAAATGTCAGCTTCTAGTGCGAGGCCCTGGTTTTTCGGCGGAAGTTATGACGCGAGAGCTGATTGATGAAAGTGATGGTGCAGAACATGAGTTGCGACAAGCAACAAGCACAACAACGCTCATATCATCCCTGTTCGTCACGATTGTGAGTCAGATAGCGCAGGCCGAGCGGCGCCCAGCCTTCGTAAGTGCAGGGGTCATGAATTCAGACTGCAGTGTATGGAGGCCTCAGTTCGCTGCCCAGTCTATGACAGCGACTGCTGGTACACCAGCTTCAGCCAGGCAAGCAGCGTGCCCTTGGGGCACGACAGCAAGATCATCAGGGGCAAGGTGGTGAAGGTCCACCGCAAGGCAGGTTGGAAAGGATGGCCAAAAGACTTGCCAGGAGTCGTGCAAGGCTGCAGCCAGACAATGGCGGCGACGATGTCTTCGCAGCGCAACACAAACCGGAGCTCCTTTAGACTCCGCTGCAGGCGGGTTTAGTGGTGACCGCAATTCTCTTAGGCGTGCGACACGCTTCGTTGCACGACCTTCCGGCGGGCTGGCCTTCGAGTCAGAGCGAGAGAGAGGGAGAGAGGGAGGGAGAGAGAGAGGAGAGGGAGAGAGGGAGAGAGGGAGAGCGGGAGAGAGGGGAGAGGGAGAGGGAGAGGGAGAGGGAGAGGGAGAGGGAGAGGGAGAGGGAGAGGGAGAGGGAGAGGGAGGGTACTTCATTTTTACTTGTATCAGAGTACTGCCACATATATACTGCCTCTTTATAGCTTGAAGTCATTGAAGCGTCGCTTCTAGTTCAGTTTGCGCAGATTTATGCGATTGCAAGTTGTCTTTGCGTAAGCTTCAGGCTTTTGCAGTCCTTCTGCGGTGGCGAACCAAACAAGCATCTGGATAGCACAGGTTGAGATAATCCCTGGACCAAAATGTCTAATTTCTGAAGGCATCCCTGCAGGCCACAAATGCGGCCTGTGCTGCAGCTGAAGAGGCCGGCAGTACGCCGCAGCATGTGGCCGAGGCAGGTGTTGAAGGGACAGAGGGGTGTTGC